CCGATGGCCCTGGGCTTTACCCAGGCGGCCTGGCCTTGCTTTGTGCCAGGCTGGGCTCTCCGGCGGTGACTGCTGAAGGGAGTAGCCTGAGGGCGGTTGTGCTCCTCTCCGGGTCGGGCCTGTGCCCGCCTTGGGTGCAGGGCTGGCTGGGGTGCTGTTAAAGGTGCACTGGTGAGTGGATTTTGTGGATTTTGTTGCTATCTTGAGGCTCGTATGATGCCGCAGTTAAGGTCAGGGAAAGTGGTAACTGACGAGGTGAAGTCGACTGACAGGATGGTCACCAGCCCAAGCTTTCTGGGTGCGGGGGTAGGATGTGAGCCAGGGAAGAAGTTGCGAGTCAAGCGGAGTCCTCGCATGGCATCAAAGAGAAAACCTGAGCAGCCCTTACCTTCCTGTGTGCAACCTGCCATGTCCTCCAGCATTTCCTCTGAGCAATTTGCTCCTCTTAAGCGCATGCAAAAGGAGCAAGATGAGAGTAGCCAGAGACTCCCAGGTAAAAAAAGCAAGAGCTTACAGTGCAGGAGGGCTGCCAGAAGCAACAAGGGTGTAGCTCTGCCAATTTCAGGCACTGCTGTAGGCAGAGATTGGCAGGCAGCTACCGTGGCTGCAGCAACGTGCTGGGAAGAGGCTGTAAAGAGAGGGAAAGGACAAGTTCGACAGCTTTTTCTCTCAGGAACTACTTTGCAAAATAAATTCTTAGCAGGGATTGAAATGAAAGAACATAGCTTAGAAGGACCAAGTTTCCAGGAGAGTTCAGGGAGCTCAGGAAATACGGAAATAAAACTACAACTCTCATCCTCAGACGAGGAAGTTAAGAGCACAGAGAGACATGGCAGTTCCTGTTTGTCAGGACCAGAGGTGCTGCAACTCAGCAAGGGCACATGTAGTACTGAAGTGAAAAGCACTGATTCCGTAACGATACTGAAGATGCAAATCCCAGATCTTAAGAAGAATTTGGGAACTCAGGAATCCTTGTCTGAACCAAAACCTCAGGAAGAGGTAGATACACCAGAGAATTTGGATGGGTGTACTTTAGTTGGATCAAGAAAGCCAGGGGCACAGGAGAAAGGAAAGAGATGCTTGAGCAAGAAAGGTGGGACATCAAAACTACAAGGTCCCAGAGAGAGGGGTAGATCTGCCTTGCTGGAGCTGCATACACAATGTCCAGAATCCAAGAAAGGAGCTGTGAGTCTGAGGAAGAGGGCCAGAAATGCACTGGTGTCGCAGTGGCTGCAGGGTCTAACTCACCAAGAACAACTAACAACCAGGGGAAAGATGGACAGGTGTTGCATGAAGGAAAAGCAGCAGAGCTCAAGCCCTCAGAAGGGAGCAGACAGCCTGGGGGAAAATGGTAAGTAAGCACTTGTGCCCCATTGTAAAAGTAAGGTGCAGAATTTGGGCTACCAGGACAAGGGACAAGTGCGGCAGTAATACCCCATTAAAAAGTGAAAACACAGGAGATAATTTTTCATCTGCAGATGTGTCTGTGTGGGACAAAATCAGGGGGGCAGGAAAGGGTGGCCTGTACCCTGTCTTAAAGTGACTCTCAGTGTGTGGCTGCTAACTTAGCTCAAGATGTGTTCTACAGAGATAAGAACTAGAGGGCTGCTTTTCAGTACTGTCTTCAGTCTTAGAAGAAAACAGATTTTTAGGAAGAGGAAAGGCTTTTCTTGAATGAGAAAAGCAGTTCTTTAGCACAAGGAGAGAAGACCAAATACCTTTTTGGGGGGGTGGGTAGAGGAAAGGGTATCAGCAGCAACAGGCCCTGAGTAAGATTTTTTTCTTTTTTTTTTCTCTCAAAAGCAGTCAGTTCATTTATGCATAGAAGGTCAGGCACAGGTAGGACAGGAGGCAGTAGTTTCAGCAAAGCCAAAATAAAAGATAGTAGATTCTTCGTTCATCTGTATATTTTTTGATTATTTTTGACTATGTATCATGCTGTCTTGTTTTAGTGCTTGCCTTTACAGGATGCTGGTTTTTGTTTTCTGAACTTTTTGGTTTTTAGTCGCTATGCTCTGCAAAATCCTAAAAGATGTAGGAACAAAGATAGTGGTGTTTTAAGAGAGTGTTGCATCAAACCAGAAAAATTTGGAAAGAGGATTTTTAAAAGTCTTTTTTTTTTTTTTTTCAGGGCAGTTGTCTAAAAGTCATTCTTTTTGCTTTCAAAGTGGGTACATTCAAATGACAAATGTTTGCTGTAGGTTATTATTAATTAATATTTTATTTAGAAACCGTATTCTGAAAAACTGAGTTATTAAAATTGTATCTTGCTTACTTTGAAAGCTAACATCTAAAAAAACCAATGTTCTCCTAGTACATTCTTGAGTCCATTCTGCAGATAAAATTTTCAGATGTACAGGTTTTTACATGATCTGTACTTGCTTTTAAATAGAAAGTAGTGCTTTATAAAAATGCAAGTCCTGCAGTTTTTCCGGGATCTTCTTGAACAGTCTGATGCATTTGATTGAATTGCATATCTGAAGTAAATTACTGTATTCTTATGAACAAGCTTGCCTATTACAGAGAATCTACTGTGTAAACAGAAGATTTTAAGGCTGAGTGTGCAAACAGCATCTGCATTTTCTTGCCAGACTCGCTCTAATTTGGTTTCCATCTATGTTTTAAATATATAACTTGTGATGTCCTTATGACACCTTAAGTTTCTGTTCATCTTTGCATTTGTTTCTGAAAAGAAAACGTAATTTGTTGCTGTAAGTCTATTAGTGTTCATTTGAAAAAAAAAAATGGGTAAAACTTTACAGAGATGTTTTAGCCTTACACAGTGTCATGTTCTTTACTAGCCTTGAATGGTTTTTTTGTTGTCTTTATACAATATTGCAATAGGGTAGTCTTTTTCCATTAGCATATTCTTTAATAATACTTCTTTGCTTTTTGGTCAGCAGAGGAAAAATGGAAGGCAATTGACCAAGACTCCAGCACATGGGCTATGAAGAAACTTAAGACAAATCAAAACAGATCAGAAGATTCCAAGGAAAAGAAAACTCACTACTCTAAATCTCTTATGGTTGCTACTTTAGGTGGGACTCAAAGCAAGAGCTTTCTATGCTGTCCTGTAACAAAAACGTCTGGTGTGCAATATAAAAAAAGGAAACCCAGAATTGATCAAATCAAGTGCTTGCAAGGTTTTAGTAGTGTGACTACAGCTGAAAAAGAGAGAAATGTATCTGCAAAATGTAGTGCTGAACATTGCAGAAATGCCCTAAACCATTGTAACAAGTTGGTCTGTGCAACAGAAAAGAACCCATTTGTGAGATTAGAGGCCTGTAGTTACATCAATAAGTTTGTGAAGTCTTCAGCTAGTGGAACTACTAGCAGTTATAAATTAAGTGGATTCTTCCATGTAGCCCAGGATAGAAGAAAGGATGTTTTTCCTGGTGGTACAGTAGAACAGAGTGATATGAATTGCAGCACTGGTAGAATGCAAAATGAGAGATCACCCGTAAAAGGTGGGGTTTTGTTTAATAAAGAAAAAACTCAAAATGGAGAAGGGTGTTTTTCATGCAGCCAGAGTGAAAACAGCAAGTGGTTAAGGGGAAAAAAGTGGAATAGTGGTAGAAAGTATAGAAAAAAGATGAAAATCACTGAGAAATCAGCAGTGCAGAATATTTTCACAGACATGTCTAGTGAATGCAGTGAGTGTGAGTTACAAACAGAAGCGGCAGTTGCCATGTCAAGCTCATTTGCGGTCTTGGGACTAAATCACAAAGAAACTGTCCTGTCAGCTTCATGTGATCATACATCAGATCTATATATAGGAAAAAGTACTCAGGAAGCACAAAAGAGAAAGAATAGTACTGAAATACTTGCATTTGAAGATAGCTTTAAGAAGGCATCCGAGCTCTCTGTAATAGCAAAAGGAGAAAATTCAAACAGGGTGGCACACCATTCTACTGCCGCAGGTAGCCTGAGAGCACTAGCTCAGGTCCATGATGTTTCTAATTGGCACAAAAGCAAGACAGATGAAAAATGGTATGAAGTTAATAAGGAATTGCAGCAGTTCACCTGTCAAAGAACAGTACCTATGACTGGTAAAAATGTTTGGCCTGTTAAATCTTGTGCCAGGACTTCTGAATGGGTTCATAAAAATCCCAGGTCCATCTCAGAAGGAAAAAGACTTTTAAAGGCTGCTGTTGAGGAATCCTCTGGTAAAAGCAGTGTTGAAGATGTCAGAAACAGTGGTGTGACTGGGAATTTGAGACTTTTGGATTTGTGTATGTCATCGGCAGAAATTAGCAAAGAATCTACACATAAAATAGTGGATCCAAGCACTAAATGTCTGACTTCACTTGAAACACCAGAATTCTATTCCATGGGTATTTACGAGACTTTGAGCAATGAAAATGTGGAATCACCAGTCAATATGGATAGAAGTGCCCTGGCTTTTAAACATGATGAGGTGGAAGAAGTTAAAGTCACCTTGAATTTTACAACAAAACAAAAAGGTAAAAAAAAAAGAGCTGTAACAAAAAGAAACATGTCTGTGACAGTCCAGAATGGTGTATCTACAGGTAACACAAACAGAATAAACTTCAGCCATAAAGCATCAGAAGAGAAACAGACATTTTCTGATTTAAAGCTAATGAAAGTATTAAACACTGGAAACCTGGCAAAATTCAAAATTCCTTTATGCAGAAACAAACCTGATTCCAGGAAATTGGAATCTGGCTGTTCATTTGAAAGAAAACCCTGTAGTCCACTAGAGCTTCTTGACAGCACTAATGTTTCAGGAAGGCAGAAGTCGAGTAAAGAGACGTTTTTGGTAAATTCTGAGCAGCAGCCTCTTCCTCTTGCAAGTGATGCTATGTCTACAGTGTCCATGAAGAAAAAAGCAGATGAGATCAACAGTAAGGAGTTTCAGCATGGTGGCTCTGAAGACCTTTCGAATGAGATGTCTGTGCTCCCTGAACATTTTTCTTTATATCCACATCCTTTTCTTGATGGACAACTAAGGTTGTCTGCACCTGATTTCCATGGTACTGAATGTGTGCTAAAATCTAATTTTCCTGACCGTTCTTGGAGTGCAGTTGACCACCCTATTGCATTAGAAATAAATAAAGATAGCAAAACAAGAGGGAATCTTTCACAACACAACAGTCAAAATTTTCCAGATGTTGTTGAAGCTTATGAAGAAGATGTTCTTGTCATTGATGTGATTCAGGATGACCCTGACCTTTTTGGAGACAATAATGAAAATGAACTTGCACTTACAGACTCTGAAAATTGTCATGTGATGGCATCCTCTACTGGCATCTGCATTAAAGGTGAAAAGCAGGATCTTGAGCCTGAGTATCCTGTCATCTCAGAAAATAAAGATTCAGTAGATGATAATTTTAGGTATGCATATCGTTCTTTTTATTGCAATAATCCTAAATACGTGTTCTTACATCAGTATACTTTGCTGTAGTAGTTAGGCTTCCTTACAGAATGTCCCTACTTCTGGGTTGATTTTAGTGTCAGACTTTGATTGAGGTATGGCAGTATTCTGAATGCAAATAAATTAATTTGTTCATCGTAACAACCAGGACAAGCTCTGAATTGAAGGATAACATAGTCCTAAAGAATTGTTTTAGACTAAGTGAAGTGAAATATGAAAGTATAAACAAAGCTAATTAAAAGGTAATATTCTTAATAAATAACTTTATTTTTAAATATCTGACTTGATCTGAGATAGCAGATATTCCTTTGAGGGTAGATTTTTAGTTGTAAAGTTGTATAATACTCAAATATTTTTTACTTTCTAGGTGTAGCTTATTCTTTTGCCAGATCTATATGAGTAAACGGTTGTCTCTACAATAGTGTTCCATTCTACCATTCTCCTTCCCTGCTTTTCTCCCAGACATGTGAATAGTTTTCAAACCTGTAATTTGGCTAACACGTTATAGATGTTTATGATCCTGCATCTTCATTCAGCAAGTTCCTGGTGTAAATTATTAGGCATTAATGTTTTTTTGGGTTTTGAGATGATAATAAAAGTCACTAAAGGGGGAAGAGAAGTTCAAAGTAGATACAAACTTTTGTAAAAAAGGTAGTAGTCCTTTAGATGAACTCATAGTCTGCTTTCTCCATAAACTTTGATACTTGCGTTTGATGAAAAATTTAATCTTAAAACTCATTTATCTTACAAAGAAAAACATAAAGCTTAGATAGAAATAGTACAAGATTTTCCTCTGAAGATTAGGGTTTTTTTTATTGGGAGCGGTATTTTAATTTTCTTCCTATGCTCTTTCTGGGTGGCTCTATGATATCTTTATTTTAAGTAATGTTTTAATTATTTTCAACATTCTACCATCTTAAGTGTTGTGTTTTGGTTTTTTTTTTTTTTTACTCTTTGCTCTCTTTATCCTTTCCCCTTCATTAAACTCATGTGCAGAAGAGGAAAGGAATCTTCTTTGAGGTGCTGAACAGCTTTTAGACATGAGTATATAAAACTTTTAGATGTTAATGCAATAAAACTTGTGCCAAAACAAGCCTCTGAAGAACAGGGCAAGTCTTTAGTAGGAGCATCCAACTTAAGAAGCAGCTAGGCTGTATCATAGTAAATTTATTTTTAATAGAAATAGAATATTTCTATTTCTATTCTAAAATAAATAGAATGAGTATTCATTTTGTGTGTGGTGTATATTATATACACTGTAAAGCAGAGTGAATATTTGCTGTATATTACCCCAGGGTAATAATGTCTGTTCAGACGTGGTTTCCAACAGACTGTCCAGACAACTTTGCACAGGATGGAAGATGAGAACTTCAGAGCCCTTTACACGTTCATTTGTTATGGTAGTCAAATCTGTTGTTTATATAAATACTACCTGTAAATTTTGTTGTATCTTGTAAGTACTTTGTGGGAAGGAGTAAGGACATTGAGTTAGAGTAACATTATCACAACCATTACATAGGTGAAAACTGAACTTGTTTGAAGTCATATTTCAACTTTCTTCTTGATATCTGATGAATTTGCTTGCCATCAGCCAAGGTAAATAAAAATGCATAGTTCTTATTTCTTAGAATTTCGCCTTAATTTGCTAAAGAAGCAGGCAAAAATATGTATTTTTGCTTTTTCCCTTCCGTAATTTGTTGCAAAGATCATTAGACAGTGACTAATCATAGTTGGTAACAGTCAGAAACATGTTAATGAACTGAATATGAGACTATTAAAATAAGGCAATAGATATCACCACAGTTTTATCAGGTAGCTTGTGATATCACCAGGTAATACCAGATAATGGCCAGTTCATACTATTGGCTTTTACTTTGTTGATATCATACAACTGGGACTTCAACTTTGGCCAACCAAAAAAGTGATTATGCTGGTAGAGTTATGCTCACATCAGACTACATATTTTAAAATAAAATACCGTTTCTGTTAATGTCCTTTTTTTTTCTTTAAAGCGATTCTAGAGTATTGTTGATGTTTTCTTGTTTGGCTTCTTATTTTATGCATACTCAGTTTTGCTTCTTTCCAATATTAGTAAGGCCACTTCAATCTGTCCATGTAGAACAGCAAGTCAGAACTGCGCTATTGAAGACCATCTCTAACGTGTATAAATATTAGTTCATGTGCATGTTTTGTTTAACATTGAGTTAGTGTTAGCCACTGCCTTCTAGATGAATGTCATCTAGGTGATTTTAGGTAGAAAAGCAATATAGGCACTTAATGGCTGCACATGGTCATTGTTACTGAATGTTTTCGTTAACTGTATCAATACATAGTTTTTGTTATGATTTCCGTTCAGAATAATAAGAGCAGGCAGATGATAGAAAGAATCTGGATCTTTGCTAGAACTGTTTTAGTGCACGCATGCATGGGGATGGACTTCATTACATTACTTCTTGTGTACTGATACTTTAGTGCAGAGGAGTAAGAACTGTATTTCTGCTAGCAGCAAGTTACTCTGAAAGTATAGCTGCATTGTTAAAAAGTTTTTTAAAATGTGTTGAGTGTTGCTTATGAGTTTAATAACATTTAAATTGTAAACTAAGTGATTGGTGCCTTAATTTGTGGTGTTCTTTCAGCTACAAAAATCTGAGATTTATCAGCTTGTCAAAATGACAGTTGCTATAATGAAATAATACTTTTCATTCAAGTTTCATTGTGAAACCAAAGCACTGAAACTGTGTGAAGAATGTACCAGGTTGATTCAGTAGCTGACAAGTGTTCAGTGGCAACTGTTAGCCAATGTGGATGTGTAACTGTTATTGTGAATCCGTTTTGTTTGAACTTTGAATTTAAGCACCAAGACATGTTTAGCCAATGACACTCTTCATCTTTGTTCATGACCTTAAAAGCCAGAGGGGTATTTTTAGTTATGAAAATTCAGGGAAAGTAATTTTTGGCTTCCAAATTTCAGATAATGAGAGCGCATGTCCTTCAAAAGCAGAACATGCTGGTCACAAAGTGATTGAGGTCCAAAATTCAAATAAGGCTTGTTTCTTTTCTTTTTTTGAGCAAGCTAAAAAAACACCCAACAACCAAAGAGTCACCTACCACTGTTACACATCTCTGACAAAGTTTCCTAACTACTGTAGTTGTGCTGATGTCTCTGAACAAGTCAGTTTAAGCAGGTCCTGTCTCTTCACCCAGAAGATTCAGAAAAGGCTCTGTGTGTGTATGTCCTGAATGGTTTGACCTTTAGGGTAACTAGGGCTAGTTATTCCTCTGGTGGTTGCATTTCAAGAAGAGAAGAGTGAGTGCCGGTCACTTCCAGGCTTTAGTTGCCAGCCATCAGGAGGGGATTCTGGTCCTGCAGCCTGAACGGGGCGGTGAAACTCAGTTTTCACATATGCTTCTGTTTGCTGTTTTCTATTGCCTGCCCTAAGTGACTTCCAACAGTGAAGGTTTTTGAATCAGTCATCTGAGGTATTTCTTCAGTCTCATGTAGCGAATCTAGACACTTAACTCCAAGTGGCATCCAGTATGTCTTTTCATTGCAACAGGACTAGTAGGTTCAGTGGATACCTTTAAAAGCGCATCAGCGGCTGTTCTTGCTCTTAGGAGACTTTGCATTTTACTGTTTTCCTTTTGAATAAAAAGTCTAAACTTGAATCCGTTTTTCATATGCAAAATAACAAACTGAACACTGTGGTTTGTGTAACTTGTGCTGTAAAGAGATTTGTGTAAACTTTGCAGTTGCATGCAAGAGCATCCCGCATTCTGTCATGGTCTAGTCTGCCTCTCTTTCTAGATCTCTAAAATGTATTGTCTTCTGGTTCTGTCAGCTCTCCTAGATTTGTCAGGCTGGCGATCAAGTGCCGAGTACTGTAATTAATGTAGTTTTCTGTATGCATTTTAGGCACCTTCTTTGCAAGAACTTATAAAGTGCTTCTGTAACTATTTCTCACTACACAATTAGCAGAATTTGGTAGAGATTTGGAAGTGGTTTTTGACTTGAACATGAAGATTTCAGTCTTTTCGTGCTGTTAAATATTTTCAGTTTTAAGCAGTGATTCTGAAGGTGACAGCTTGCTGGAACTGTCTGCACTGTAATTTTACAAAAAAGAAAGTCAATTGTTGTAGGCAAAATCACTCAAACTTCGCATTTCATATAGCATGTGGAGGAGAGAGGAAATAAGCCTACAGAGAGCTTGCCTCTAATAAAAATCCCTCTTGCCTCTGCAAACTTGCTGCAACTTAGTAAACTCTGCTTCTTAATATATCTCATGCATATAGATATAGATATCTGTGCCTGAATGTTTATATAGTTCCACGTTACACATACTGGTGAACTTTATTGATAATTTCCACTAGGTGGTTGCAAATTTTCATTGTTCCATTTTACTAGGCAGCTAGCTGTCGTCATACTTGGTGTTATTCACGGGGTACGACCTTCCAAAATCTGAGACGATGACATTATTTTATAGATTCTATATATAATATTTTAGTATGTTTTTTACCTTCTGAGCTTTTCTGAGGAGAAATACTTATTTTTTCCCAAATTATCTTTAAAACATGTGAAGTAAGTATCTATGAACAAATGTTTTTGTTACTCTTTTTGAGATTCATTGTTATGCAAACTGTCTTGAATAGAAAATGACTATAAATCATATTTTGTAGACTGATAAATTGGCTCATTAGCACAGTATTTCCATAATTTGCTATACAGAGAAGATTTCCCTTCTCAGTATTTTGTGCAAAGGTGAAATGAGATAATGAGCTTTTACTGACAAATTTTGGCATTTTAAATGTCTTGGTCTAACTTAATGTGTTTAGGTGTGTATCTGTAGGGATGGTCATCAGAAAGCCAAAGGAGAGGGTTAAGAACAATCTTAGAACAGTGAGTTGTACATAGAGATTCTGTCCATAGCTGAAAGTATTACTAAGAGCTTTAATTTGACGTAACTGGTTAGATTAATACTGCTGTTGTGCAAGGTGGAAATCTTCAATACACTTTTTATTCAAAACAGACATGTTACCATGCAAGAATCTGGAATATCAAATGATACTGAAGATTCCTGTGATTGGGTGCTGAAAGGTAAGAGTCTTCGGAGATTTTTGAACGTGTGATCAAGAGAAGGTAGCCACGAAGATGTTCAGTGGCAAAACCTAGGCTTTCTACTTCCCATATAAGATGAGAACTTGTCAGTTCAGTAATATCTTTTTATTGTAGCAGCAATTTGTTTCCCAGTGCTTATAAAATGGATGTTTTTTGAAACGGTACAAACCTGAGCCTTGCAGGGAACCTCTGTTTTTCTGTAGTATTTGTCTGTTGGTAGTACTGGGGGTTTTGAGGTTTTTTTGGTTGTGGTTTTTTTTATGTGTCTCTGATATTTTAGGCAAGGAATTCTGTTAGTTGATGAGATGACAGTAAGACACTGAGTACTGTGATACTGCTTTGGAACCTGACTCAATCTCAATTGGTTGTTCTCTTGTGTTCATCACCAGACAGAATTTTGTATTATTTTTTTTCCAGGCTGTGCTTTCATTTTTTTTGTGATGCTATGCCCATTCTTCTGATGAACTGTTTTGTTTCTTAAGGATGGGTTTTTTTGGTTTTCTTTTTTTTTAGAGGATACTTCTGACAATGGCTTTTTGTTCCTATTTGAAGCAGAACAGTCCAACTAGGCAGCATCTGAATGTGATTTGTTTTCTGCAGCTTGCTCACAGACCTACTATGCAAGGTGTGTCTGATGTGGAAGTTTCTCTTAGGTTGGAGGAACAGGATTTTGACTTTGAACAGAAGACCAAACACACTGGAGAAGGCACAGAGTGCTGAGACTGGTTTTGAAGGTTCTCAGCGTTTCCTTTTCTGGTGTCAGTTGTCAGCTTGCTGTTAGTCTGGCATTCTGCCATTGTGTATTGATCTTGCAGGCTCGAAAAGTGTCTGTGACAGTACCACTTGTGCTGTTTTTTTCATATTAATGTGTTCAGTTCATGTAGAACGAGTGAGTGGTTTGGGCAGATGTAGCCACATGGAGAAAAAGGAGTGAATAGTGACTATTTGGGGGAGAGAAAGTTTCAGGCTTCAGTGAGTAGAAGGCGAAATAAAAGGTAATGAGGGTTTAAGAGCTCACACACCCAAGAAATAGACATTAAGTTCCCTGAGGAGGAGCAGGGAGGAAGTAGACAGGCCGCTGGTGATGTAAAGAGCCAGAGGGGCCTGTGCTGTGGCATCTGGAGTACTGAGGTGATTGAAACCAAGCCTAGGAGCAAGTCCTGTACTATTTAGGAACTTCTGCATTTTCATAGATTATTTGTTGTTTTACTTCATGTTCTAATGAAGTTTGAGGCTTTGGGTCTTTGTGGTGCTTAAAGTAAAGAAAAAGGTTTAAGTAGGTCCGTCTTCCAAATCTGGGATGCTTAGTATCACATCACACTTAGATTAGTATGCACATGGTAACTTATGTTTGATGTATGACTTTTTTTAAAAAGACCTGTACAGAACAAAAGGCAGGTGCCTGGTTTTGGTAATTACTGTCAATTTATGTATTTATTTAGAAATACATATTACTGCTTTGGTGTCTTGTGTTATGTAGTGAGGTCATGGCTGCTTGTCTCAGTAGCTTCACAGTCTAAGAAGGGCAACAGATACTACGTTTAAGGTATTCTGTAGGACACCAATCTTCTTTCAAGTGGAAATCTTATGTACGTTGACTTCTAGCAGACGGGTCTTGTACAGATGATCACAGAGACACCAGTGACTATAAGATAAAAGCCTTTCCAGTAGTAATGTGATTCTTCCTGTATCTGGACAGCTTAGTGCAGTTGAAATTCATTCATATGATCCAATAAAATAGTGAATTTCTTTTCTATGCAAAACTCTTCTGTTGTACATAGACGGCTGCTTCAGAAAGCTGCAGTCAGGTGTTCTGTTCATTTCCTGTGGCGTGTGCAAAAGGTGCTGAAATTTCCTGACACTGAATTCTCATTGAGTTTACTGTAGTACAGGAATTTGGAGTTCCTCAGAGCTTTCTATATTTAGTTCAGGGTTGCATTGTGTTGTTACAATTAACTTATCCCCTTTCTCAAGCAAAGACTGAGTCTTTATTTGCTTGGCAAATTACCATACATATCTTTGGGTGTGTTTTAATAACAAAGCTTAACTGAGTTTATTTCTAAAATATTTAATTCAATATTATATAAATAAACCTGTTTTACTGTTCTACAGGGACTATTACTGAACATACAGCTTGGATAGAATTTTAATTGCAGATTCAGTTTAATATTTATTTGAAATGATTCATGCTTTAAAGGTGAAATAATTTTACATATAAATTTAATATTTAGGAAGTCCTAGGAGTTCTTAAATATCATTAGTATTAAGGCTTTATAACATTTAGGAAATAAAAGCCTTGTTGTCTTTTGGCATGGGAAATACATAAAGTAACATGTTTATACATTTTCAGCTAAAGATATGAAAATGTGCAACTCCTCCAAAGGAAGCAGTCCACTGGGAGGTGTTACTGAGGACTTTCTGGAAGATGGGCAACTGAAAGAAATAGATGAACTTCTAAAGAGTTTTGACGTGGATGAAAAGGTACTGAGAAATCATTCTTTCTGTCACTAAATAGTTTAAGAGATGATAGTCCATGTAATTGGATAATTTTCATTACTAATGCTGTTTTATCAACAACAAAATTAATTTGCTGTAATAAAAAGAACATCAGCATTTCATAGATTACTGTGCCATTGACAATGTAAGTTTTGCTTGACAGAACTCGGGGTTTTTTACCTCGTCACTAATAACTCACCTTCAAATATCAGTTCTTAGAGTAATTCTCTATTACCAATTGTATGAAAATTACTGTTCCACTGAAGACCTCAGAGTACTACTGTGCATTGATGACCCTCTTACATAGCATACCTAGATTTAAAAGTGGTGTTAAACGCTTCTCACCACACAGTCTTAAAAGAATAGGGCGGTTTTGGAAAGCTGGGGAGCTGCACAGCCATCATGCATGCAGGGAGGATCATTCTGTGGCTCGTTGCTTGGGCAGAAGGGCCGTTGCATTAACATACTGACTTCCTGGCAGTTCAGAGAGAACCTTAAGCCATTTTCATGCTCACTGACTTTATCTGTTCTTTCTACTCTCTCTGTTCTCCTTCCTCTAGGTAGTAAATCTAGGTCTTTTAAGAGTTGCTGAAGTTTTATACTGTTTACTTCTTTGATAATGGATTGTAATTTACATCTTGCTGCCACTCAGACATAGCTGCTGATAGAATTTACTGTTTTCCACTGCTTCAAGAGTGGGTAATGGTCGTAACTGGGTGAGTTAAACTGTAAAATTCACATGGCTAAAAACTGGTAAGGTAATGGTAAAAAAATGGTAAGGTAATCAAACAGTAGGGAATCGGTTTCCCTGGCAAAATCATTATTTAAAAGCAGAATAGAAACATTTCCTTCAGCAAATGCATTTGGGCCTGCTAACATCTGATTCACAAAGTGAACAGCACCATTTTATTCACTCGACTCTTAGAGAGGGTAAAAGGGTCTGTCAGATAGTATAGGTTACTGGAGGTGTAGTACTTGTTGCAATACTGCCAGGTAAGTCCCAGTTGGGCTACATATAGTGTTATGGTTTTATAAAATCAGTGTCCTAATGTTTGCTTTTCTGTGGTGTGTTGGACAACAGCACATACTTACACTTATCTCACCCAAACCTCAAACTTCACCAAATTTAAGCCACAAAATACCTGCTGCAGCCCTAAATCCTGTATGCGGATGGAAAACTAGATGTGCAGACCTGGGGAGGGAGAGAATGGCAGAACACTTGTTGCAAGTATTCTACCATTTTGGGTGATTTTGGGGGTTTGTTTTTTGGATGTCTTTTCCAACTAACAATGCTGTGAGAAGGACAAAAACTAACCATGGAGAAAACCCTAAAAATACTTGGGGAACTGGTAAAAAGAAGTTTGGAAATCTGATGAGAGCATATCCACCTCTAATTCTTTGGTTATCATAAATTTGTGATATAATGTGAAGTTCAAGTTACTTCATCAATAATGGACAAAATAAAGCCAGGATTCCATGTCAGTCCTTTCAGATTGTCACCCCCAAATATGTTGGGTGCTGTCTTTTTTTCTCCATATCTTTGGGTATTTTTTACCTACACATCATGGTGCACAGCTGAGCAAAAGCCTTAGTTTTCTCCTCAATACAACTTTAAATTTTCGTTAAATTTGATGGAATGTCTTTTGTGGGTTTCTACACTTCTGTCAGGCGCAGTTAAAATTGGGCAGTGGGCCTAAAAATTGCTGGGATTATCCATGGGAGCAAACTCAAATGAAGGCAATCATGTCACCTTTTTCCCGATTAAAAATCACTGTTTTAAAGATCACAGAGTATAATGGCAGTGTGTCCATTTAGAAAGATGGTGTAAGAGTAACCCTACAGTCCAAATTACAATTTTTACAGTCAAGAGTATATTACTATACCTTCCAACGATCACTAACACTTTTAAGTCTGTAGTGTAAAGTGTAACAGGCTTAGTAGTGCTTTGCTGTATCTGAAAGTACATTTTAAATATCTTCACAGTTCGGGTTTGCAGATGGTGTGCCTGATGTTAAACAAGAAAAAAAGGGTGAAGCTGAAAAAAGGTATATATACTGTGTCCTTCGTGTAACCTGTGATGTTCCCCAGTTACTGTACAAATGAAATGTGATGTTTTTACCAAAACGCCATCAGCATTTTAATTCAGTTTTTCTATGTTAATGTGACTGTGTGATGAAGAAAATAAATATGTGAAATAATAAAATTTCACTGTGCAGAGTACAAGACAAGTATAGTCATAGCCTGACAGGACAATAGAGGTGATTTTGTTCTCTGGCTGATGATGAAATATATCCACTTCATGCCAGTGTGTCACCTTGCCGTCTCAGTGTGAGCATAGCATAAGATACATTTCCAGCCACAACAGCACTTACCAGAACTTTTAAAAAAAAAAATATCAAAAATCAATGAAACTTTCAGCATTCTTTTCTGCCTCTTGGGGCTTTCTAAACTGATGAAAGAATTGAAAGATCTCATTCAAATTCAGGCTGACAAATATTTGAACTGCAGAGAAAAAGGGGCTTGAAAACACAACACGTGGAATTAAGCATGTGCTTTACTGTTCTGCTAGCTTCAGGCTGGACTTACAGTGTTTATTCTACATATGACTTTAAAGTGTCAGACTAAGAAACTTCCATTCTACATCAGCCCAAAAATGAAGCAGAACAAGACTTTGTAGAAAAAGTATGCATAACTGATGGAATACTTAAGTAATTAGAAGAGAAATAACAGATATTTCAGAATCATTTTCATAATAATAAGGAAACCTTAGCTGGCATAGAAGAGGTTATTGCTTTTTTCCAACACCGGTCACAGTTCTCTGACAGAGTTGAAGTGTACCAGAAGTCTCTTAAATGGAGACTATTGCATCTTTTTCTTAGTCCACTAGAGAGCTCCAAGCTCCTCCTTCTGGTAGAAGACCCATTGAAATTTACCTTAGTAACGTAAATAGTTCTTTATGCTATAGAATAAGTGGATTATGCTGGACAAGATATGTTTGTGCAAGTGATACTGCATTACTTCAGTTCCTTAATCGAAATGCAGCACGCTCTGTGGTTAGAGGAGTCAAACTATTTTCTCTAGTTTTACTCAAAAATGTTACCATTGCAAAGTTTCGTCTCGAAGAAAACATATTTGCTGTTCTTATTTAGCAAATTCCGCTTCTAGTGATGCTGTTACTTAATAAAAAGAATTGATTGTAGAGCTATTTAATTTACAGTTCCTGGCAAAATCAAGTGGTTTTGTGTCTAGATTAAAAGGAGAGCTGAGATTGTTATCCTGAAAGTAGGCTGCTGTGAAAATCCTGTTGTGTCAGACTTGAGACTGGCATCACAAGGAAGCATTAAAAAAAATTTTACATGGTAGCTTGAAAGTTCTGAATAACTAGATCTGCAATTTTTTTTCCTCTGGAGACCAATACAGTACATTGACTAGAATAAAAATAAAGATTGATATTGAAGAATTTGGGTTTAGTAGATAGAATTTATTCTTCTTTGCCGTAGCATTTTTATTTCAAACTGTATTAAAAGAGCCTGCAATTTAGAAGAGATTTTAATTATCCTGCTTATGAGGAATATTAAATAGCTACAATGTGCCCCTCGTAGGGGATAGCAAGTCTGTTTCTGTTTCCAAACAGTAAGCAGGCTGAAATGTCCTTTGTACTGAACCTAGATTCTTAATTGAAAGGGGGAGGGGAGGAAGAGCTCATCAAAGGGGATGATTTTTTCCTGTGGCTTTATTTACAAATAAGAAAGCGACCACTAAATATTTCACTAGCAGTATTTGTACTTTATTTTGGAAAACATCACATTTTAGTAGTTTAATTATCTGGAATGTACATATTTGGGAATAAAGGCAGAACAGTCTTTGATTGGAGTTCCCTTTGAAATCACCTAAATCCTCTGCTGAGTAGAGTCAGTTATTAGGCAAGAAAACAGTTGGCTCTTCAAATGTAACTTCAAAAGCTTTGTGGATCACTTCTTTGGCTGATACTACATAACACTACTGAAAAGTAGATGCTTCTTCAGAGGTGACAGAAATCGTCTCAGTGTTCCTGTCAGCACAGTGAAGAAAAATAAAGTGGTTTGTGGCTGCCTTTTCTACTTATTTATTGAATTTCATATAGTTACGCTTCAGGACAGAATAATCTCAGCTAGGACTGTAATCAGATTGGACCTGGCAATGAGAGTAATGAAAGTAAAGTTGTTGGGACTCTTAGCTATTTAAATTTACAGCAAGTTTTTAAGTGTTGCATAAATTGTTGAAGAAATTCTCATCTTTTATACACTTAATCCCCCTTTTTAGGTGTTTAGTATATGGGAGAAGCACCTGTTTAATTTTGTTAAACAAATTTTTGGTTTTTAATACTCAACAGTGACTGTAAATACGAAGATCTTGTGAACAATGAATTGCTGTCAGGATTGCCGTTGCATGCCCCGAAAGTAAATGTCCTTAGAGAAGCTACAGTGTTGAGACCCCAGACACATGGTACCGTATGCTGTATTGGTGAACCCTCCAGAATTTATTTTTACATGTGTTTTATTTACCTATAAAATCTTAAGGAATTTCCTAAATTCCTGAAGGCGTTGGCTGGAATTTGTTTTACTTTGCATACAAAGAAGGAAAAATACAAACTCTCATATGATAGGCGAGTGAGGTTGTTTTGGGTTGGGTTTTTTAGCAGAATCCTGTTTGGTAGGGTCAAATAGCAATCATTCTGTCTTGGTATTTATGGTTCTCAGATACTTTAATGGTACAGCAATGCCTGCATTCTCAGAGAATGCGACTGCAGATTTTCTTGGTTGTTATCTGTTGGCAAAACTTGGCTAAGGGATTTGCCCACCTTGCCAAAGGTCAGAACTTTGTTGTTTATGCCAGTTCAAATGTTTGTGAGGCATTCACTAGACTGGATCAAGGAAATTATCTAGATTTAATAAGCAGCACTTCATTTTGAGCTGATATGTTTCACATCTGGGATAGGACCCGCTTAAGTGTCTGCTGCCAGAGAAATCATAATGTAATGGAACTGTAGTCAAATTTTCCTTCTCTTTTTCTCTGCACGTAACAACTCTGACATTTAGCCTTACAAAAATGCATAGTTTTATTTGGCATACGAGAGAAAAAACAGGAATTGATTATTTAGGGATAGATACTGCATTCTGTTTCTTTGCAACAGCTGTTTGGGGAATTAATGTTTTTAGAATTATTCGTTAATATGGATGTTTATAAACATGGATTTCCTGAATTGAGATCAGTGGCAAAGGTTCTTGCATATTTTCAAATTTCACTGCCACTCTGAGCTTGTAGAACAATGTTATCATCATGTCATTTAACAGTATTTTCAGGAAGTGCAAGAAACATGTGCTATAAAAAACAACAGTGAAATACATCTCTAGACTACAGTAGTTTGAAATTGCTCATGTCTTTGGCCTTAAAAGCATATACGCCTTCTGAAGAGTTTTTCTAAATCTTCCTTCTTAAAATCATTTGAAACAGTTGCCAAAGCAAGAGTTTCTGTGCTAGGAGAGAGCGAAACAGCTGGTTTTTCCCCCAGAGCTGTGAGGCAGGATTGGCTATTTCACTTCAGTTCCTGTTCCCCTTCGAACTTGACATAACAGTCAGCAGGGAGAGTACAAACTGTTGAAAGGACCTGGTCAGAAACTCTATGCTGTGGGGACAGCAAGAATCCGGAGGAAAGACTTCAGAGCTCAAGTTCCCAGTGGCATTTTTTGCAGCTAGTCATTGACTTTTGTCAGTCTTTTTACTGTCACTGAATTTATCCAATCCTGAATTTACCAAATTTCCCCCCATCCCTGCACAAAATTATGCAGGTGTGACAGTACGTAACATTTAGGTATTTAATTGTTCTACATTATATTTCTCCTTCCTATCCTGTGATAGTCCTATCTGTTTAGAAAAATATGCAGATTAAGAACAATGTACCTAGGGCAAGTCTGTAGTAGAACACACATCATTATTGGATACTATTTGATAACTATAGTTTGTCAGAAAGGACTAAACATCCTGCCTTTTGAATACCCAGTTCTTTCAGGGGGCCAGATGGGAACACTAGAAAGCAAGGCATTCAGAAGCTCTTGTTTCTCTTTAGATGTAGAGTTGAAAATTTGAACTTTTATCTTCCACTAACATTATTCATTTTTCAGAGAAAGAAATCTGTTATCAATAATAATTGAAGTTCTAAAACCAAGTTTCATGGTTAAGAAACAGTAGCTTACATTGGGCTTAAGCTTGATATTGTACTGCTTAAAACATGGAGTGTGAAAGGTTTTATTTCAATTCTGGAAAAATAGTTTAAATTTATGGCTAGTGATGTGGATGTGCAAACATTACTGATAAAGTGTGGGGTTGTTTTTCCTTTGAAATTACAACTTCTGGATATTTTTATTCCATTTATTTTCTGATCTCTGTAAGTTAGATTAGAAACCTTGGATAAAGTAGTGAAGTTTTTAATTTAAATGTGCTTACTCTTGAAATTTGTATAAAGTCTCCGTTTTAGGATAACTAAGAAAACTAACTTAAATTACTGGCTTTAGATTGTATTAATCAAATTTTCATTAATCATTGCTGTGACTTGAAAGATAAGATAAATGAGAGTGGTTTCAGTATGATTCGTTTTATTGTATGATCCATTTATTGCCCTCATCCTAATTTTTAGATTACAGATTTTCCGGAAAAAGTTCTTCACTGCCACTCCAAAGTTGTGGAGATTTTGGGCCATGGAAGATGGAAAAAAATGCAATTGTGAGTTGTTAAATCCTTAATGATTTCTGATCCTTTGGCCACGGATTTTGTTACATATATTCAGACATTTCTCCTTATCTCTAGTCAGAAATTATGAATCTACGTATGTTTCTGTTTCTACTCCTCTGAAGATCTTATCACTGAGTAAATATAATTTCTGAGAACAAAATCAATGATAAGGGGACAGCTATTCACAGAGGAGCTTTGTTGATTTCTATTTCCAGCTAATCAAATAATACTTTTTGCTTTATTGTTTCTGTAGAATTGAAAAGCAGCCAGAGTTTCACACGTTTAAGACAGGCTGCCTTATCCATTATGCTGGGCACTGAAAAAGGGTGAAGGAAATTGATGCCCCAGAATTCTCAGACTGTTATCCAGAGCCATGCAGGAGTTTGTCACTTTTTGTCCTCCTCTCTACTCATTGTCTGTCTCATTTAGCAGTTCTTGCATTCTCTCTGTGGTCTTCAAGACAGATTTTCGTGGTGTTAGACACTAACACGACACGACAAGGGATTGATCTTGGTCTGCTTTGAAGTGCTGCAAATACAGTAGAGATGAGGGTTCTTTCAGAGGTTTAATTGTACATCATGGGTTTTTTGCTTTTGTTTGTAATTTGTGGGTATTTTGCAATTCTAAAAAAAAATGAGCACATTTGCTTTCAAAACATATCATCTGTTGTTTTTTTTCTGCTTGTTTTAATTTTATTTTATTTTAGGCTTCTCATTCAGTCCAGCAGATCCTTGAGACGATTGAATTGCCCCGTAAATATTGCAGATTTTATTTCACAACTTTGCGTGGGTGTGAAAGAGCAAAATGTTGGTTTTGGCATGTTCCTGAGCAAGGGGATGAAAAGGTAAAGAGATTTATTGAAGAAAGGAATGGATTGTAAGTGTGAACGCTCCTAAAGTGCAAAGCTACATCTCCTTTACTCATTTATATATGGGAATAGAGTAAATTTTGGTGATTGATGAATCAAAAAAATGTTCAGAAAGTCTTCCTCTCAAGGCCTTTTAAAGTTCTTTTTTTAAAAAATGGTAGAATTTTGAACTAGTAGACTTTGTAAAAGAGCAGACATCAGCAAAAGAGCAAGAATTAGGCTGTACGAATATAGAGTAGAAGGGGAGATTCTGAGACATTTCTATCCCAAGCATCAGAGACCTGTAAGCAAAAGACTTTGTATGTATTCTTAAAGTCAAAAGCCATCTATGGTATATTACTTCCTGCAAGTTTTGTGCAACAGGAACACATTTGTTTAAAGGTGCTGTAGTCTCCTTAAATGGAGCAACAGTTCTCATAATATTTGCAAGCAGAAGTACTTTTCAGTGATGGGCAAAGTAGATGTGTTTTCAATCCATTTAAAAAAAGAAATTATGAGTCTGTAATATTTCCAGGAACTGTGAAAGGCGAGCTAATTGTGCTGTCATGTAGTAAGATTTTGGAATTGGCCGTGTGGAACCAAGACTTAGGTGGTTCTGTAAGTCACTTGGAAGCAAAGACCACCATTAAAACAACTAAACAAAGACAAATGCCTAAACTTGTCCTCATCAGGTCTTACAAGATTTATTTCTTATGTACCATCTTACTGGTATGAGTACGGTTTTATCATTGGTGTCAGTAAGTATGAAATAACAGAATCAAAATGTAAAAAAAAAAAATTGTGGTGAACCTGTTAGCCATAAATACTGAAGAAAAAAAAAGGCACCTAAAGGAGCTTATCCATCTCCTTCATATCTTAAATATGCTGTGTCAGAATTTCTAAAATACATCAGTGTAATTTGGTTTTATTTTTCTTAATTTTTTCTCTTTTCCTTTTTATGTTTTTGTCTCAAAAAAGCTGGGACTTTTTTTCCTAATGCTTTGTAACCCCTTTCAAAATCTGTATGACAGCTTAAAAATACTCAGATCATCTGAGAGTAATTTTGTATGGGACATTTTCCCTTTTCCTCAACTGCAAAGTATCTTTAGCAGGCTGTAGTGAATATCAGTAATTTTCAGCTAGTTTGTTTGAATTATCATAGTTTGTAGTGCTTCATTATATACAAACACATTAAAGAACTAAATTATTTGCCTAAAACTATTAAAAATCCATTCCATTTGATTTTACTTGTGGTGCAGCACTCCAGCACACTTACTGTTCTGCCAACCAAACTTAGCCTAACTTTCTTGGTAGTCAGGAAGTATACTTTAGGTTTTGTTTGTTTATGTATTATTTTTTTTAGAACTGTCCATTTAAAAATGATAATAGACCAAGCACCTCGTGGTGGCACCAAAGTACGTAAATGGAAGACAGGTGGTAAAGCAGCAACAAAGTCATCTAGTCAAATACAGGGGAAATAAATCTCTTTAGGAACTGTCACGCAGACTGGTAGTCCACTTGGTTAGTACTGTGTTTTCAGTAGTGATTGTTACCAAAATTTTTGCAGAGAAATGCGTTTCCCCATGATGGATATTTCTTCCTTTTCATTAAGTAACTAGTTGATGCTTTAAGGCATAACTTACTAGAATTTAACACTCTTAGCAGTTGTGGTTGATCACGCAGCACAGCAGTTACTTAAGAATTAAGAACTTCATATGTTTTGGAAATCAGCATACTCCTGAGCTCAGCAAGTTCTACAAGTTACCAGTTGTTTTGTTTCGGTTTTTTTTTAAGATGCCTTTAATTTCAAACAGTGAAATCTCTTTTGTATTAGGCAAAGTAAACAAAACTATTAAGACTCTGTTTTATATACTCCCTAAAGCATTTAAAGGGGGAGAGGGGGCATCTTAACAGTGTGTATCAGTTTCTGATGGGGGCGGGGGGTAAAGAAGATGGAGCTGGACTCTTCACAGTGGAGCCGAGGGAAAGGACAAGAGACTGGGCGTAAAGTGAAATTACAGTAAATTCAGTTTGGCCTGAATGACACTCAGACTGTAGCATAGATAATAATTGCACAGCTGAATAAGTCGTTTGAAAACACATCTTTATGCAAACTGTATTTCTCTGTCTGATTTTATTTTAGCTTTGTGTACCTTTCTTTAACGTTTTTGGACTCGTATCCACTAGAGAAATGTTTACTTTCTTTTTCCTTGATCCTATAAACCTCTAACTGGAAACAAACAGAATATAAAATAGGAGGATTTCTGTCTTCATTAATGTCATCTTGCAACTTCAGGGCCTTGGGTGTATGATTCTGTTGTGGGTTTGTTTGTTGTTTTCTTTTAATCTGGCTTCCTAAAGAAATGAGACTTAAAGTTGCACTGTCCTTTTATTACTGTCTCTAACAGCCTTTAAGTAATTTTTAAACCTGTTGGTCAGTTTCAGGCACATTCAGTATGGAGTGTGAGTCTTAAAGATGTCACAGGGTTCATAAACAGAATCTCTTGTAAAAAGGATCCTGAGTGAAAGGCTGCAGCATGGGGTTTTCCCCTCGTTAAACATCAGCATGCACACTGACTGGGAGATGCTGAAGGATTTCATAAATTCTGGTGCTTGTTATTCTGATTTAAGCACCTCTGTGTTACTGTAGTAGAACCATGTTTTACTGGACAGTCAGTTGCTTGTATAAGATACATAGCCCTTTGTTATGGTTTTTATTAAATTGTCCTGTTAAATGTGGAATCAACTGATAGGTGACAGAATAGAGTGACCTATACTGCCTTTTTAAAATGGGAATTGTCTCTTTCGTGTACCTTCATTCAAAATCTGTTATGGTTAACTCAAAGTTTAGAGGTTCTCACATTTTTACACGATCAGTAGGTTCAGTTACCCATTTTAAAATTGAAACAGCTAAGCCAACTGAAGCCTCCTAGAAACTGTAAATGAATACATTCGTAAAAGAAACAAAATGTGTTAATGTGTCCCATGATTAAATACTACTACAACTGGATTTTCCAAGCAATTTCACTAATACTTGGAACAGTCAGAGCTCCAGATGCAATCTTGGGTTTTTTTGGCAGTCAGTCCAAAGGAGGAGGAAGACAGATTCCAAAAGAAAGCAAACTAATTCACATACTGTAAGCATGTGCTAACATTTGTTTTGGAAATGCCCTCAGCCACCTGGGATTGTAGATGTGGGTTAAATGAGCTAACCCATTGCCATGTAACACTGCATATATATTAATGATCAAAGACTTTACATGATTTTCTGAAAGGTGTATCTTTGACTATAGTTCAACAACATTATGCCACTGTTTCAAAATAAAAACAATAAGCTTTATTTATATTCAAAGTACTTACATGTACAATTTTTGTGTTCTTTGACTTGATGATCTGAACAGGTTAGTGGTTTTTTAAAAAAAAAGATATCTTGGCCACAAGCCAGTACTTGGATGATAATTCATTTGCTGCTGTGTAACAAGCTCCATGTGTGGATCCTGTCTTAATTTTGAAGTTGCACGTAAAAATGAACCCGACTCAATTCTGGAGTAACATGATGACTAATGTAGGGCATTTTCTATCTCTTGGTATTTCATTGTTTCACAAAATAGTGTTAAATATGACCCATTTACATTTTTGTGCAGAAAAACTGTAAATGTTCCAGAAGTGACAAAGGGTATCTGAAAGTGTGGGTGGGTTTTTTGCTAACTTGTAATTTTAAGATATAATTTTAGTAGTCTTCATTTCTTCATCTGCAGAAATGGAGCAAAATATGTAAGTATCACAAAGCTGACAGCTTAAGATTAAGACAAGAATGTTCCAATACCAAACAACACATTAAAATATCTAGATGTGGAATTTTTTTTTTTATTAAGTGAGTCTGGGGTGAAATGGTTCATTAAATAGAGTTAGTTCTGAGGTTTTTTTCTTCTGTGTCCTTATCAGTGATTCTTTGTGACAATCAGTGTTACCAGCTTCATTTCTAGACGATTTTTTCTGCTTCTTAGTTGGTACATTCATGTAATTTTTGTTTATCCTGTTTTCACTTTCACCTTTTTGCTTCCCTTTCTCTGTTTGTTTACAGTCTGCCATATTTATACCAATTAAAAGAAACTGTGTTTTCAAATTCTTTTTTTTTGTTTGCTATGAATATACATACACACATGCATGCAGTTGTGGTCCCAGTAGCTCCTTTCCTTTCCCAAACATTTCATCTACATTATTTTTCTATGTGGTTTGCTGTCCTTTTGACAGTGCCTTTGCCTGCAGACCCAATTACCTTCTTATACTATTTGTCAGTATGTATGGGTTAAATAGAAGCAATGTAAAGCTCTTTTCCTATATAGAGCTCATGTTTGTGGGTATTTCTTTTGTCCGGCATAAACTGAAATACACTTTAATATGGATTTTTTTTCCACTTTTTCTAGATTTGCATGGCGATACTTGGGACCTACATTAGCATCAAAGAATCAGGCCTTTTAAAACGTGCAGGTATGATAGAATAGTAGCTTTTGATGTATCTTTGATACTTAGCTTATTTAAAGCAAATTTAAAGCAAATTAAATAGGCTGTCAGGAGAGAAGTGGGTACCACTTCAACAGTGAATGGTAAGTTCTGATGTCGAAGGAATACATCCAATGTATGTGTTTTCATGTTCCAGTTTCCCATTGAGGCTAGGTATTTAGATACGCAGTTAGGTCAGGAGGTTGTTACGAATCTTAGTTCCACAGAAAATGAACTTAGCCTGAATGGAACTAGACTTGAGAGTAGAAATGAGTAACTGGGGCGGGGGGGAGGTTTAACAGAAGCAAAATTTTGTTAAGGCACTTTTGAACACCCTAGCCGAACTTGAGAAATTAAAGCTCTTGAAATGAAGTGCTGTTACATCAGCCAAACAGCTTTAGTTTATTCCTTTCACATTACCATGTCTGCAGACAATTATGATTAACACATTTTAGGGACTGTAGTTGATTCAGATCCATCTGAGCTTTTGAGTTCAGTTAGAAAGGGCTAAATTTTACTCTGGACAGTCATTCCTTTTGTGCCTGTCCTGAGCAATCTTAAGTTTTTGAAAGCTTATTAAGAGTGTAGCACAATGTGAACATGGGATCCAGTTGCACCGTGTGTAGTAATGATGCCATGCTGAAATACAGAGCGTTGTCATGCAGGTAACACTGGGTACCAGCAGGCTACAGTACACGTCTACCCAGGCTAGCGTGGGAACAGGTTGTAAGACCATCCATGATAACGCTGCACTTTGCTTCCTAGAGCCTCATGTCTGGAAAGGCCCTACTGCCTTGATGTGCTTACCACATCTAACCTGGTTTTGTGAATTTTTCTTGTGTTGCACCAAATCAGCTAAGCTTTCTTGAAGCCTGCAGGGCTTATGGTGTTCAGCTCAATGACACGAGATATTTCACAATAGTAAGTCCGAGTCTAGAAAGGCTAACACTGTATTCAAACTGGATCCTTTCACCCATTTTTCTCCATCTCCCTGTCCCATAATATCCTGGATAATTAAGGATTGTTAAATTGCATTTAAAATTTAAGGAAATAATTTGTTGAAATAGTTAGCATCAGTTACCCCAAAGTGAAATTAATTTAATTGCTTTTTTCAGTCCAAATATTTGTGAAATATTACAGAGAAGTTACTCCTGGTGTGGATTTTGCTTTTCAAGTGCTGAATGATCTTCTCATTTCTTTGCTCGACAACTGTTTGTTGCAGGAAGTATTTCAGATACTGAATGTAACTGTACGAATCAATACACTGGTAGGTGACCTTGTAATATTTTTTTAAATCTTTGATCCGTAGTTTCTTAGTTTTGTGAGTACTGTGCCATTTATAGTAATAAGTTTGTTTTAACTTTGGTACTCAAATCTTAGGGAAAAAAAAGAGCAATTCAAAAGTTCCTATTGTAAAAGCTAAGCTTTCTAGTTGAACAGAGTTGCAAAACTGATTGTGCTTTTTTGTCTAAATTAGCCAGCTGTCGATGTTCTTCTGAAAGTTTTTGAGCATGTGGCTTCTTTGAATATGAGAGACGCAGTGCCTACATTAATCAGTATCTTTTGTAAGGTATGAGTTTGATTGTACTACTGATACTTGTTGGATTTTCTGAAATACCTTGCGTGTTTTAAAACTCAAACATATCACTTTAATATAATTTCAGTACTGTCTTTTAAAGTTATACTGTGACTGGCTGAATTTGTGGTGCAGGTTTCCATTTATCCTTTATATTTTGACTGAGATTCACTGTGACGTGTTTTTCCCACTGTTGTTTGCCACTTGCCTCTGGAAACATATATGATCACATTTTTTTGGTAAGCTTACTTTTCTTCCCACTGTTTGATGTTACAGCTCATTGACGCTGGTATGTTCCTTGAGTTTGAACATTTTGACTGTATTATTAAGTTTCTTCACCAATTGCAAGTTTCCAGTCAGGAGATAAATACTGTTTTGAACATAAAATCCAGGTATGTCTTCAATGAGCTATTTTATAACTGCCTCTACCTAGCTCATTCTTCAGGTTCTTTTTTTATAAATTTATGTAAAAGCTTTGAAAGGCAATTAGAAAATGCAAATTTAGTGTTTTGGATGAAAATACTACCATATCATGCTTAATTGTATTTTAAAGTGCTGTCAATCTACTCTGCTTCAAATATCAAGGATTATTATGTCAAAACATAGATTCTAACCCCAGTTATGATTAGTTTTTTCCATATTGATCATCAGTGTACAATGTGTTCCCAGCTGTGCTACAAGTTAATATAACTGTAGTCAGATTAGAACCATCATGGTTTGATATATCATTTAGGCCTGCATAAGCAAACAGTACTTCTGCAATAAACAACCCTTCTAGGCCGTAAGAGGATTAGTTATAATCTGAAGTAGTTTTCTGGTTTCATTTACTGTGTGACTGCATAACCACTTGCGTCAAGACAACTAGGGAGTAGGGTCATGAGCAAGTAATGTGCCCAGGTGGCCAAGGCGGCCAACAGCATCCTGGCCTGTATCAGAAGTGGTGTGGCCAGCACGAGCAGGGAAGTGGTCAGGCCCCTGTTCTCAGCACTGGCAAGACTGCACCTTGAATACTGTGTGCAGTTTTGGGCCCCTCACTGCAAGACAGACATTGAGGTGCCGGAGCGTGTCCAGAGAAGGGCAATGAAGCTGGTGAAGGGTCTGGAGAACAGGTCTTATGAGGAGTGGCTGAGGGAACTGGGGTTGTTTAGTCTGGAGAAGAGGAGGCTGAGGGGAGACCTTGTTGCTCTCCACAACTACCTGATAGGAGGTTGTAGTGAGGTGGGGGTCAGTCTCTTCTCCCAAGTAACAAGCGATAGGACGAGAGGAAATGGCCTTCAGTTGTGCTGGGGGAGGTTTAGATTGGATATTAGGAAAAATTTCTGTACTGAAAGACTGGTAAACATTGGAACAGGCTGCCCAGGGAAGTGGTAGAGTCATCATTCCTGGAGGTGTTCAAAAAACTTGTGGATATGGTACTTCAGGACATGATTTAGTGGGCATGGTGGTATTAGGTCAACGGTTGGACTTGATGATCTCAAAGGTCTATGCCAACCTAATGATTCTATGATTATGCTGGGCAAAATGTGAGATCGCAGTCCCAGTCTGTTCCAAAACTGTTGATGTCTCCCATCACTTGCACAAGATTGTGATTTTTTTTTTTTTTTTTTTATTGTCTGCATCATACATGCACACACATATTCAGAAACTAAATTTGTGATTCATAAAGGAACCTTTGATTCTTCGAGAAAACTAAATATGCAGCATCTACTTTTTCAAGTAGCCATCACTGTTTCAAGTGAAAGCACTGTAGAAGTTATTTGCCGCTGTTCATACTTTTCCCATAGAGTACCTTTCAGCCACGGATGGCAGTGTTTTACCAGAGCAACTTACAATACATGTTGGAGGTAATTTTTATCACTTTTCAGATCAGGAGTCTGATTTGCAAAGAAATGACCCCTTCCAGGTTTCCCTAGTTTGTATGTATTTTCAGGACAAACTGAGAAAAACAGTCTGTATCAACAAAGACTGAGCAGCTGTGCTACTTCAACTGTGCGTTAGCTCATTCATGTGTAGGTAACGTGTCTCTACGTGGTAGCATCGCACTGGGTAGGTGTGTCCATTGCTTCAGTGGCGGGATCAGAATAAAGCACTATGCTGTATTTGAAGCTGAATAGCGCTTTCTTTCATGTAATTAACTTTTCTGTCAGAAATATATACAATGCAGTTCTGCATTTACTTAATGGATTGGAAGTCTTATTCATACCTTTTTCAGTTTCATTTCTAATGAGGCAAGGGAGTATTTTCTGTGAAAATAGCTCTGCTCAATTATTTGCTTAATACATGTACTGACTTCCCTTGACATGATGGTAAATGTCTGCTTTCAGTTTTCAGTCTGCATAGTGTGTAGTAAATAGGATCAAAAATCACATCAGTTTTTAGTTCATTTCTTGATCACCTTGTACTAGTGCATAGTTTATTTCAATAGGATGTGTTATAATTAAGTATTAATATTTTTTTCTTATGGAAGATTTCAGGAAAGACATTTTGAAAAGAACTGGCTTTTTGACTTCAGCTTGGCAGTGGCCGAAATTCAGGTACAGTATGTGCATTCTTCAAGCCTGTTGGAATACTTAAACCATGACTTCTGTTAAACCTACAAGAAATAGCAATTTCTGCATCATTTAAAGTTAGTGGACTTTCAGTATATTGAGATTATGATAAAATGTTTTTATGCAAAGCTGTGTTTGGGAAAGATTCATGTGCAGGGGAAGACTGTCTTTGGCTTTTCTGTAATTTACATACTTGTAGTTTTTATCTTGGTTTTGCATCTAATTCAAAGATTTTGTAATTTTAAGCAATTACTTCCTATGCCTTACATTTGTTGTGCTTGTAGGTGTTAGTGGTACATCATTCCTCAACAAAAAACTATTTAATGTGTTATTTAGCAGATACAATTCATATCTGGTATAAAAAAGCCCAATTGTAAAGGGCTGTAATTTGAAACACTAAGCAGGTATTTTAAAGAATAAGAAAATATTATTAAAAAATCTTTAATTGGACACTTGTGTCTTTCCTGTTCAAGGGCAGATTACTTATTATGCATGATTATAATATAGTTTACATATTATAACACTTACTGCACAAATCCTGAGACCAAAATTAAAGAAGGAAAGAACCAGGACTGATTTTTTTTTTTTTTTTTTTTTTTACTCCTTTAACACCAGTCATCAAGCGATCTGGCAAGCAAAAGACTAATTCATATAGAAAATAACTATCAATTTGGCATGCATCATGAAAAAAAAAAAGGATGGTAAAATACTGGATGAATGCCAGTTCTTAAATAGGATGAATAATTTATGCACTTCCCCAATTGGGGTCATGACATAAATGGAAAAAGGATTTTAATTTCTTGAGGGACAAAAGTGATTAGCAATCCATGCAAGTTAGGCAACGTGTAACTGTGCCATACTGAACATGGAGATTGTTGGCAGTAGCATTTTGTCTGCATCTTTTTTTCTGCTTTAAGACTATCCAGCTATATCTCTCGAATGTCAATATATTTTGTGTTTGTTCTGGAAGCGGGTTCCCTTATATTTATCCCTTGCCTTCTTCACAGCATTGCAAGGAAAAAAGCAATTGGACCAAGCTGGGAGATTTGTATGTTAATGCAAGAACTGGATGTGAACATTTTGATGATATTCAGAAATTGTCTTTATGTGTTGCTGAAATACTAACCAGAGATTCTGAGACAGACAAACCTGGAGTTCCTTTTTGTGATTTTGCTGATGCAGGTAAAGTTAAGATGCAAACAATGCTTTTCATTCATCCCTATTCTTTGTAGGTTTTTAAAAGGGGTAAAAAAAATCGTATACTGTTTTCTGAATATTAGTTAATTTAATATGTTACAATATTCAGAGTTTCTTGAGGTGCAGATACAATCAGCTAAAATGCTCGATAGAAGCCATTTTCTAGTAGAAGTAAAATCCACAGTGCCTATACTTAAGAAAGTTCCGAAAGCACATTTGAGTTTTGTGAAATCAAGAAGAGAAACCAAAATTGGCAGTCTTTTAGTAAGAATGTCCTGTTCTCAGGAGAAAGGCAAACATATTTAAGTATTGCCATGTGAAGTGTCACACACTTAATAACACAAATAAACTTCAGAACTGTAAATACAGCTCTATATGTATTTGTGTATTTCAGAACACATTGAGCAGGGTTGCATCATGTATATAATTTCTACTTTTTTTTTTTTTTTGTAATTCGGATTTTCAGAATTACTCTCTAAAGAACTAAGAATTTCTGCAAGGGCTGGATCGACAAAACACCTTCTGTTTTTTCTAATAGTTCTGGCAGGTTTTGTTATCCCTTTCCTCCCTATGCCCCTTCATTTACATATCTGTCTAATGGGTGACTCAGATCTTTTTCAACCTGTATGAACTACTAAAACATGATGAATATTTATTCCAGATATGTGACATGACCTTTCTGACCACAGACTTCCATATTATAAAACAACTATCACAGCTTCCAGTTGTGAGACAGACAGAAGATTTGGTGGGGCTTGGAACTTAGTCTGCCTTCCCTAGAGCAGGGATTCCAAACTGATAGGCACCTGTATCAGTAAAAAAATTTTTGAGCACTCACCCCCCGTTTATTTATTTATTTATAAATTATATACATGTACTACTGCACTAATATATTAAGTACATTATAAAACATACACAAAAATAGAAATTTAGAAGATGAGATAAAGATGAAATAAACACTATTTTAAAAAATACTTTATTTATTTTTATTTTTTAATGCTACAAAAAAATTTTCTTTCCACACCTGAATTGTGCTCACACCCCACTTTGGAGACTACTGCTCTAGAATACCAACAGTGTTTCCAAAGTGATTGTGTAATATGGTTAGAAAAACTTGCAATTACTCAGTTCTGTAACTGCCAACATTTCTTCATGGTGCCAGAAGGTGCAAAGGTTGCTTTACAAATAACGATGTTATGTGTCCAAGCACCTTATGGATGAATTAGACTACAACGAAATAGCATCTGAATAAACTATAGTTATTTATCCTACTTTGGTGTTAGCACTGCTGTTAAGTTGCTACTTTTAATGGCAAATATTTCAGAAAGTGTATTTAGTATTTTCACAATTGCTGTGTTTTTCAAGTGTGTAATTTCTTTAAAAATGCATTTACATATAAAATTTTAATTTTTTTTTTTCCTTTCCAGTAATAAAAAATTCACAACATAGTGAAGCAGACAGAATTTTCATTGGAAGGACTGGGATAAGTGTAATGTATTCCTATCACAAAGTAATGCAGTGGACAAAGGTATACTGGACTATAGGAACCTGACTGGAAGAAAAAGAATGAGTCATTTCTTTTCTAGATGTTAAACTTTTCTCTGCTTGAATGGCTGGATGTGCCACCTGCCTCCCCACCATCTTAGTACTTCTTCATTGTCCAGCTGGAGCAAAGCATTTTATTGTGCCTTTCTGAGCAGTATTCTTCTACAGAGCCTGTCATAACTCTGTCTTGCAATTTAGAAACTTGATGGTTCAGGTTCAGCTTTTGGCTTTTCTGAGCTAAGGATGAGTCTGGATTAGGAGACAGGTCTTCCTGAGATTCTGGGGCAAGGTGCTAATGGGATTGTTTCCCAGAAATGTCGCTTTCTTCATCTGGCAATACTGCTGTATTCTGAGACCTCCCAACTCAAGCAATATTTATAGAAGTTTGAGTGGGCCCTTTCCTGCGCTGATGCTTCTGAACCTGACCTCAAATGGAATGGTTAAGGCCAGGAAGACAGAAAAGAAGCATGGCAGTGCTGCTACCGCACTTGATGAACTGCTTATTCCCCAGAACGTCACTAGAAGTGCTTTTCTTCTGTTGGATCGAGGATTCCAAGTTCTGTGAATCTTGCAAAGAATCACATCACACAAAGAAATACCCCTTACAATCCTTTCTTTGCTGTCAGATATTACAGAGGGCCAGGGTTAAGAGACTAGACCTCTCACTGGATGTTTTACACTCTTCAGGCCTCATGCAGTATTGGTCATAAGTTCACTGCAGCAAGATCTGTTTCAATGTTAAATTTGTCTTTTTCTTCTTGGAAGGAAGCAGTGTGTATATAATGCAGTGACCAGTGACAACATAGGAAACAGTATAAACCATCAATGATTTTGGAGTGTATGTTCATCAGTGGTTACATTCTGAACTTACCTTTGTGTCAATGGGCCTGATCCTTACAACTAATAACTATGGTGTACTGGGATGTACCTCATCCCATACAAGATGATTTCCAGCACGTATTTTTATGAACAAAAGCAAACACTCTCCTTGTCCCCTTTTGTCTCTTGGGGTTTTTTTTGTGAATCGTCATCAAGGAACCCTTTCTATAGTTTGCATCAAAGGATTAAAATGTGTTTCATATTATTGTCTCTAGGGGATAACCTTGAGGAATTCTGTTATGTAAAACCTGAGCACTGCTCAGTCTGTTTGCAGGGTGAACACAAGTCCTAGGAGGTATTTAATAGAGGTGCATATTCTAGAGGCAGTACACCTATTTTGATGAATCACTAATTTTGCAGCATCAGCTTGTTGAGTTGAATGGTCTTTAGCAGGTCCCTATCAGGCTGCCAGCACAGTGTGGTACTGTATAGGAGCAAGGGGAAGGAGAGAAGGTCTTTGCATTAGCACTTTTGTAGTACTGTACTAGAACTTTATAAGCATTTTTGTTCCACAAAACGCAGCAGTTAGAACAGTTAAGATATTCCTGGCCAGAGAAGAGGTAGTCTATATTTTTGTCATTGATGAGTGGTCAGTGCTTACATGTCCATAAAAGAGCTTAGTTTGTCTTGGGTTTTGTCTGTCTTCCTCAGCAGAGACAGCATATATTCAGTGTTTGTGGGGAAATGCCTTCATACATTTTAGCTTTCTTTCAGATCAATCTTAAGGGAGATCCTGATATTTAGGTTGCAGGACCTCTGATATTCCAGAGTAGTTCATATTCATGTCCTAATTTCAGAGGTGCAAGGTGTCAAAAGCATGTGTGGTGTTTATCTTGTATAACAGGAGTTACTAAAAGTAGACAGTTCGTATGATGCTATGATTTTTTTCATGCCTAGAGAAAAAAATCATTGCTTCTTTGAGAGTGTTGTGTTAGGACCAAACCCACCTCTCAACAGACTGCTCACCAAGATCCTTAAATAGCCTTGTAGACAACCTGTGTTGAGCATATGGGAGTGTGAATGAGGCTGTGCTCTGGATGATTTTTATCCAAACTGTGAGATATCAAATTGATCTGTGCTTTAGGGATGAACTGGAACTGTCATTCCTAGCACTCTCCAACCACTTTCACTGCATTATAGGTATCGGGTAAGTCCCTAATCCTGTGGTTGTGGGCTAGTATTTGCTTTTGATCCCTTTTCTTGTTTCTTCGAAAAAGTGATCTAGAAAATAAGATAGTGATGGATTTGTTCTTCCTGCTATGCCCAAAGTAATTTTTGCTTTAGGACATGCCCTGTGCCATTTTATGAATATGTTGGACTGCCTAAAGCTCTAAATGTGCTTTTCAGATCAGTTTCCCTTACGAACATCAAACCTCTTTATCACATAGCTTTGATGATTGGTTACTCTCAGGTAAAACATGTTTGCTCCTTGGTCCTGAAGGGAATATTCTTTATAAGAGCTAAGGAAAGTTCATAAAACAGATATACTTGGAAAAAACATGCCATTTTGAAACATGTGAATAGGTCTTCCATGGAGACAGCTCTTCAAGCAACACTAGACTGTCGGGCTATTTAGTTGTAGAGAATGCTGCAACATTAACACTCCTTTGGCAACTATTTCATCCACTTCCTACTTTAACTATTTCCTATCTTGAAGGACTTTGCTACGGTTTCTTTTTAACCAACTTTTTATTACTTCAGAAGACTGGTCAGAGGTTCTTATTCAATTGAGGATCTTATTCCACAACTGCATTGTAATTGAGTGCCCTTCCTTCATAGATCATTTGTGCTCATAGCTGCATGCTTTCCATCTTTTTATGAAGACTCACCCTTTTGCTAGAAGGGTGGAATAGATGCAGATCCTCCTTAATTTTGTACTGTCTCTTGTGTGCATGTACATTTCAAGTTTCTACTTTGCTGTCAAAAGTTTCACCTGAGTCTTTTTGGTATGTATTTTTTCCCTTCAACCACATACATCTGTGGTTGAATGGGTTCTTTAAACCTTAAATGTTACTTGCAGTAATGTAGTTAGTATTCTTTTATGGGTTATGCTGAGATAAACCATTGCAGATACCTGTAGGCCTTCAGAAATCTCCGATTTCAAGCATATGCCAGGCCACAGTAAGTATGTGCATATGCATAAAGCATTTTCAAAAAATGATCTTCTTAATAAGTAAGTTTCGTTTTTTTTGTCAAATTCTCTGTTCTTCTGAACCTCCCTTTCCCTCTACCTCTTGAACCTTTCCCTCTACAATCCTTATTCCGCCACCACAATGCATGCACACACATGACCATGATTTTTAATAAGCCGCTCAGCAAGAGCTGAAACATGTCTAGTTTGGAGTTTCGTTTGTGTTGCTTGACCAGCCTGGACAAGTGCTGAATCCTGCCTGTCCTTGCCTTGCTGGGGACATTAATTTGATATCCCACCATGACTCAATGATCCATCTTTTTTAGATTGGTCAGATCTTAATTATCTTCGAGACTGCTACCTTTCTTCCATCTTTGACTGAAAAGACAAACCAAGAAGTTGTTAAGAGGAAGCTTCTGTAGGAAACTAGTCTAGATATCAACCTGGAATATAATGAGAAAGTTGTTGGTTGTTAAACTGTTGGCCAGATAGGTTATTGTCCTGCTGGGTACAACTATCAGTGTTTTCTTTGGCTTATACTGGAGTAACTGCTTCAGTAACAATTACACTTCTGGTGCAAAAAGAAAACTCTCTGTATGATCTTTTTAGAATTGTATAGGTTGTGTAGTGCTGAATGGAATCAAAAGAGTAAAAATACTAATATACTACAGTAAGCAAACATAAATTAATTGCAAAGTATATTAAAAATACTGTATAGGAACGTTATATAATAGAAATAATGTTATGGGGACTAGTGTACTGGGAGCTGTTCAACAATGGGTTAGTGGTGGGGTTTTGAGTACCTTGTCAAAAAAAATCTTATTATTCATTAGAAATTTTACTGTGCTCTTTTTTTTCCCAACTCAGTTTGGATAACTAAACTGATGCTTATAAATCTGTATCACCAAATTAAATCTGCTGTATTTTGTGTAAATATACTCTGTGTTCACTGATACCATTGCTTTCTCTTGACCTTCCCCCTTTCCCTTCTCCCTCTTATGCTAGGGAAGGAAGGTTTTGGATAAATTGCATGAGCTACAGATACATTTTACAGTCTTGAAAGGACTTATAGGTGCAGGGAGTTTAGCATCAAGATGTCAAATTATTAATAAAGCTGCAGAAATTTTTCTTAAAACTGGAAGTTTGGATGGAGCAACATGGGTATTGAGAGGTAAGCTTGTCTTACAAAAAACTGAGTTTTGACTTAAATTTGAACAGCCCCCTGACAGATTTCAGTTAAAAATTACAAGCTGGTCTGTTACTAAATAAAGTTAATACTGGGACGACAAAAATAAAATGTGATCCATCTTACTGGTTAGTAGTATTCTTGATATGTATAAGAAATATTATGACTAATAGCAAATTTTTTTCAGGAAAGTTTTCACAGTAGTCTGCCATCAACACCGTTCTACTCAAAAGCCTGCCATAAGGGAAGGGTGCAGCTTGGAAAGTGACCCTGCCCCATGTAGATTTCCTTTGAGCCAGGTGACATTCAGTGTCAAAAGATTTTCAGGCTTCAGTCAATGCAGTGTTTCTTTACCTCTCACAGTGTCCACAGTTAGTAAAATAGCTTTAGAATAGTACCATATTTCTGCAGTTACATAACCCATAATTACTGGCTTTTTGGAATTCTGATCTGCTGAAAAGAGAAGAAACTCAGGAATATAAAGACGAATAGAAGGTGTTCTAGAAAGTAATATTGAGGATCTAAAATTCACTATTCAATTTTCTAGATATATATGTATTTATATACACACATGTATGCCACTACCATGATATTTAATAAAAGGGGTAATTTAGAATATAAAGGTTCAGAGAGTCCATCTGAGATGTATTGGTGTGATAAGGAATGACATATTAATAACTAGAACTGCATTTTCTGTGAAATTCTGAAATTTGTTTTCTGCTACAGTCTACAGTATATTCTTAATGGCCAAAAGTCTCAGCGTCCAGCAGTTTCAGTTCATAGAAATAACAGTGCACTGTTGTTTGCTACAGAGTCAGAGTGGACCACAAATACACCATTGTGGGCCTGTGATAAAATGGACATCCTCGATCGACATAATTTGTTATGTACGCTAGTGCACAAATACTTGAGGAAGAGTTTATACAGACAGGCATTTGAAGTTCTGCAGAACTTACCAGGTTTTCAAATTTGTTCTGGTAAGTAAAGAAAAAGGTACTGTGTTACGAGCTAAAAATTTAACAGATGATTCTGTACTGTTGTTTTTATTTGATTTCTGGCTAAAATTTGTTGAAAAAGTAAGGTGGTTTTAGACAAGCCCATGGTTTTTTTTCCAAAGAGTGTAGTGTCAGTTAAAATATGTATTGTATTCTGCAGCTCTTGCCAGACATGTGCATGCGCACACGCAGCATTTATGCACCTGTCCTCTTTTTCTGACTGGTTCAGTTACACAGGGCAACAGGAAAGACCACTAAATTTTTAAGGATCATACACAGTCTATACAGTAAGATAAAACAGGGGTAGCATTGGGGTGATTCATTTTGTTTTGACTTCAGACGAATGCATTTATCTTTCTATAACTGAGCTAGCTAACCTAGGCTGCTTTTACATACCGTGTTAAAGAACTGAGTGCTCTTTAGGGCTCAGTTTAGCTGACAAATTTTGGATGTATACTTCAAGATAAGATGCGTAGTTACTTAGGCTCTACTGAGGAAACCTCAGCTGATTCCTGTGTGTAGGCCTCAGTTCTGTTGCCAGTGTGTGCTTTTAGGTATGTTAGGAGAGCTTAGTTGGAACACCATGTACTTAGAGAATCCTAAAAGGATCTAGTCCTTTGAGGCATGAGGTGGATACAAGGCTCCTCAGTCCTGCCAAGAAGGGGACAGTTGAGCAGAAGTGGACAGTTAAGAGCAGAAGCAGAACTTGAAGCACCAAGGTGATTTTTATCAGTGTAAATTTTAAGTCTGAGAGATCAGGTGAAGATTGTATTTACAGGCTTGGGCAGGTGAATATATTTTTATCTGATCTTGTTGGCAGCAAATTATTACTTGGACCTTAACACTTCTCTTTCACAGTGTGAATGAAGTAACTACGAAAAGACTTTTGATGAATAAAGCATTATCGTAAGTTACCTCAACCTTGTTCCATTTTGCTGATAGAGGCAAGAGTCCTGATGTAGGTACTGATTGAGAAATGATTCTTCAATTAGATTTGCATTTGATTTAATTTAGTAGTTAATATTCTTCATTTCATTTCAGATACTGTAGATGTTTCTCAGTACAGCTACCTTTTTAACGAGCTGATAAGTGCCTGTTTTGAGAGCAAGAACCTTGGGGTCTTATCTTCTGCAGTAGACTTCATGCTTTCAAAAAACATAGCTATTGATTTTTTTTTACTTAGAAGATTAATCACAGCTTTGGGAAGAAGTTCTTTGTGGTCTAAAGCTAGGACCTATTACAAAAGTAAGTTGCTTCTTAATATCCTTCCCCTAGTTCTTTAGATAACATATGCTCATAACAGCTCAGTATGTTGGGGAGAAATGGGTAAGAGTATGGTTTGTGAGAAGAAAACAGTACTTTCTGTGTCACTATCAGGAATTTATTTGTAACCAAAATGTTTATTGGAAAATAGCGACAGTTGAAAATATGCATCAGTGCATACTACGTGGCATGAAATAAATGTAACTCTGACAAAATTAATTTTTTACATTCAGTTTCAGAATTCCAAAAATGTGAACCTTGAAGTGGTTAAAAAGTGCATCATCTTCACTTTTTCATCTAGGCAAATTAGATTTCTTTATACTTCTGTTTAGAGCTGTGATGGTAAAATTATTAATCATCATAGAGTACTTTGGGTTGGAAGGTACCTTAAAGACCACCTAGTTCCAACCCCCTGCCATGGGCAGGGACACTTTCCACTAGACCAGATTGCTCAAAGTCTCATCCAGCCTGGCCTTGAACACTGCCAGGGAGGGGGCAGCCACAGCTTCTCTGGGCACCCTCACAGGGAAGAATTTCTTCCTAATATCTAATCTAATTCTCCCCTCTTTCAGTTTGAAACCATTACCCCTCATCCTATCACTACCCACCCTGACCAAGAGTCCCTCCCCACCTTTCCTGCAGGCCCCCTTTAAGTACTGGAAGGCCGCTATAAGGTCTCCCCAGAGCCTTCTCTTCTCCAGGCTGAACAACTCTCTCAGCCTGTCCTCACAGGGGATCTGGGTAAGAAGTTTATCCTAACTGGAAGAAAATTCCTTTCAACTAAAAACTAACAGTCTGTGATTGTTTTCAACTCCCCACTTCTGAGTTCAGAGAATACTGGGTGTGCCACTCTGATAGGGTCCACCAAGAGCCATCTCTCCATATTGTCACATTATTTTTTTCTGAAATGCTACATAGGTTGGGTCTGTGGGATCACTTGGCAGAAGACAAAGGAATAAAGGGGCAGATGCCATTCAAATGTCCTCTCACTGTGATCATAGTTAATAAAGCTCTCTGACCTGTCCCAAGTTGTATTTGAATTATTACGCATTGGGAGTCCCCAGATTACTGACAGAGCTTTTTATTCGTCACTGATAATATTCACTGATAAAAATAACATTTTACAACAGTGACTATTATGAGTGAATGCTACTTGCTGTGTTCTCAAATCAGGCCGTTTCACAGGTGAAATAGTAAAATCCATTAAGAGTTTGGCAGGGTTTTTTCCACATTCTTAGCCACATACTGATGAAAACAGTATTGGTAATCCTAATTCCTTACATTTCTGCATTTGCTTTCAGGTGCTTTAGCATTGGGTTGCTACCCACCACTGCAGGGAAATTTATATCACAAACGTTTGATCATTCCGTCTTACCTGTCTGAGGTTGAGATGCTGTTGGCCATTGAAATATTTCTTGTTTCAAATGCCAGTGATATTCAAAGTCCAATGGCTACTAGTCAGACTCTTCAAATAATACTGAAAAGGTTGGTTGTCAGATATGTACCATTTTGATCATATTTACCTGTGTGACCATGTAATTAATGGGAGATCTTATTTTCCGTTGGCTGGGAAACAGTGCTTGGTTTTAAACTTGCTTTTAATCCTTGTTTCTAAAGGTTATAGAACAGTAAATGTTTGGGGTTTTTTTATTATTATTATTATTATTTTTACATGTGTGTAGCAGAAAAGTCACTGTTTCAAAGTGATAATTGGCCTGTGTTCCCTAACTGAATGTGTGTACCACACTAAGAGCGTACTGTATTTTCAAAAGCAGGGTAACTTGGTATCTTAGTGTGTAGATTCTTGCATTGTGGTTAAGCAGTGGAGTAGAAAGGCACAGTCAAAATGTTACTGCTTTCAAAAAGCAACGCTAACATTTCTTGGCTATTTTTTGGAAAGTGTATGAAGCCATTTTACTCAATTCTCTTCATAGGGGACATCTCAATATTAAATTTGTTAGATATTTTCCCCCCTTTCAGTGAGACTTAATACCTTCGGATAAAAATGTGTTTATTACTTTTTCCTTTTGTCCATAAACCACCAACCCCTGTCACTAGATTGTACTTGTAATTTATTTTTCAAGACCCCGTTTTCTCTAGATTGGCTGGCTCAGCATCAAAATGTGAAACTGCATAGAAAAGCTACTTTGTTAAGAAGGATGAACAGGGGCATCTCAAACTGGAGTACTCTGTCTTCTTTCCCCTCTACCATTCCCAAGGAATACATGTCTTAATTTTGTTCTTTTGATAAATGAGAAGATTTATCTCTTTGTTCTCATGTGTATGCTATTGTACCTCTGCTTGTTTGCTTAAAGAGTAAGTTCTGCTTTTGCAAAAACATAGGCATGTCACTTAGGCATATCCTTATTCCAACAGTGATTACATGTCAAAAATGAGTAATCCTTTTGGATTCAAGCGTGTACGTGAATTCTTGCTATATCCAGTTCATAAAATGGTTTACATTCCTTTACTGAATTTTCCAGCCCAGAGTTGAATATTTCTTCATGAAATGTGCTGTGAATATTGCAGACCTACTTTGCCCTGGCATTAAATCCTATTACTTTTCATTACCATAAAATGTTACTTTTTCTTAACTTTTTAATACTTCAGAATAATCAGCTAAAATTTGTCTAGAAATTAACATACTCTATTATAAGTGAAGTGAACACAAGGCATTATTTTTTTTGTAATCCTGTTGTCAGTATAAAGTGTCAGGCAAGCGACGCAGGGCCTGTATGGTACCTAATTTTGTATTTGTGAAAACTCACTTACAGATCTGAAGATCAGACAGTTCAGAATAACAGTGACTATTCAGCGGCAGTGGAGAGACTGATCCTGGCTGCTCGTGTATCTGATCCAAAGCTTTTTCTTAAGTATATGACAATGAATGTTAATATGGAGGAAGTTTACAGCTTGGAGCTTACATCTGCGCTAAAATGGCTTCAGGAGAATATGAAATGGGCTGGGAAGGTCTGGCTGTTTCAGTAGTCATTAAATAGTGAGGACTCAGATTTTAATGGTTTAAGCAATCATTGTTGAAAATAATACAAATTAATAAAGGTAGTTCCCACTGTGTTCAGACTGTGCCTTACTGATTTACAGCAAGGCTTCAAACTCAAGTTGTGTTTTTAAATACTTACATTCATGATAATGCAGATAGTAGCACAGAAAGAGTATTTTTTCCCCCTAACTATATAGACTGTCACACTGACTTACATAAATGTTTTGTAATGGCATCATTAGGTAACAGGGAAGCTGCAGCCTCAGAACCTACATTCTCCTTTTTTTATGGAGAATCTAGCACTAACTGTTACTCTTCTCCCAGCAGGCGATAATATATAAGTGCATTGACTGAGTGTATCTGCTGTTCTTGAGTGAGACGTTTTCCACATTGCTTCATAGTCTGTGGCAGTAATACATGTTTCCTTTTGTCTTCCTCACAGTATCTTGTGATGATATTGTCCCGTCTGTATGCCCCTTAGACCTTAATTTCCTTACTTCAAAAACCCAGTAAAAGGCACCAAGAGCAAAATAGCTTCAAAATCACTTGAGACGTGCCTGACTTAGGATACCTTCCTTCGTAGAACTGAGAGAGTCTACGAAAGTTGCTCACAGCTGAAGGTTTAGTTGTGTCTTGATAATAACTTGTATATGGCTTCATATTTGTATATATGCATACTTCCACTGAAAAGGAAAGCTTGCTTTCTCCCTTGATTGTGCTCTTAGAGGGAAGTGGTTTTGCCCATTTTTTAGTTTCTGCCAACTGTATGATGAGATGGAGGCTTCTAGCAAGCTGGTTCTAGAATTCCTGTTTTTTCAGGAATTCTTTTTTCCACCTGCAAATCCTGAATTGGATTTGGAGCATGACTTACTTAAGTCACACTTCATCTACTGATCTGAGTAAGAAGAACCAAACATTTCATGTTAGAAAACTCCCGTGGCAAATCAATGGGATCTCTGTCAAAGTTGATACTTGCCTGAGCTCCCCACCTCTGTAGTGTTGGTTTAGCTCTCCAGTACCAGCCTTCACAAACATGCCCATAATACAGCTCGTTTGGTCCTATTCTCCATCTCCTGTAGAGCTTTTTGTGCTGAAAATTTCTGCTCTCTTGGATATAGAAGTTCTTGATGTTTTAAGGCTGTTCCTTCATAAGTGAGATCAAGATGGTGGCATAAGTCCTCAATGTTTGAAAGGTCTTCCCCTCCATTGGGGCAGCACGAGTCTCTTCCCAGTTCCAGCAGCATTACTGCAGGTGGCCATTGTGCCTCTGAATCATGAAAGCCATCACGATCTTAGCGCTGGATAGTTGTGGAGGGTTTTTGAGGGGTGTGGTGTTTTTTTGTCTGGGAGGTTGCCACTTTAGTAGAGGTTCATGCCATTAGTCTGATGTCATTAATCTGATGGTGAGTTGTTAGAGATTCCTGGCCCTCTTCAGTGTCAGGTCCTGGCCCTTTTTCATACCACTGCTCATCCAGTCTGTCTGGGAGTTGCTACTGGAAGAGAGAGGATTGAACCTGATGACCACCAAGATCACTGCGTTCCTCCTGTGCCACTTGTACGGAAAAATGCAAGGATGGAGGCTCTTTTGTTTTCAGAGGTTATCATTCTTCTGTAGGGATCTCATCTGCTTTCCTTCTAAAAAATGGTAGATTCAGTACAAACAATCAGATGGCATTTCTTTAAAAGCCCCTTACTTCAGAATTTCTCTGGAAGAACAGTTGGCACTAGTTCAAATAGACTTTGGGTTCCACCAGTTGGTATTCACCAAGATGGCTCTGCCATTTATAAGGTCGTCCACCTGGTCAAATCCAGTAGCTGAAAGACTGGCTAAGAAGTGATCAGGTTTCAGATGAGGGATCTAAAGTGATGTTCTTCCAGCCACTCCAGCATTAGTGGCAAGAGCAATTTTGGAAGGTTTCAACAAACTAAAACTGGCAGTGAGAAACTAAGTCATTTTTGCTAATTACTTTTTGTAACATACTTTGTAGCTTAATCTCCCTTGGAATTAGACAGAGGCTATCTGAACCTCAGCTAAATCCCACGCTTCTGTAAGCAGGACCAGATGTGGCTAATACTGTGTTTGAGAGACGCAGAAGGACAAAATTCTCATAGTAATCTGTATGACTTCAAAGCTTGGGATGTTCTAGAGACAGCATTATTTTTTCCGTTATAGGCAACCTTGAATTTTCACTTAGATCATCCCCAGAAAAAAATTCCGAGTGTTGCCTTATTTTTCAGACAGAGGTTAATCATTGACCTTCTAGCTTAACTCGGAACTGTGTAAAATTTGTGCAGTGTTTTGGCTCCATCTCCTGAGTATCATCTTCAGCTGATAGGATGCAGTCTCAGTCATGTTTTATATTAACAAGCAAAGCAAGCTTCCCACATCATTGCTCAGAAGTTTTGTTACAACTGGTGCATCTGGTGTTTCTGTCAATACAGTGTTTCTCCCTATCACCATGATAAACAATTTAAACAACTTATGTTAAGTCCTGTATTGCACATTTTTGTACTGTCTGAGTCCCCTTGAAATACCATACAAATCTGGTCATTTTGATGTGTATCAGAATGCCAGAAAGGTTTCTACAGCAACATTCTCAGTACCATTTTGGTGACAAATTTCATGTGCTAAACAGGACAAAACTCCAGTGTGGAATGGAAATGAGCCTGGAACGATGAAAAAATTTTCCAAAGAATAAAGTTAAGTACAGTAGAGACAATGCAGTTCTGCAGAGCCAGCCACTCAGTAGACAATAGACATATTTTTGCTTTTCCTCAGGTATAAGTTACTGTTTCTTAGTAGCTGAAAGAACTCGTGTGTTTGAGATTAAGCAACTTGTTTGATATATTTAATTTTTCATATAGGAAATAAAATGTATGTTTACCTGTTTGCAGAGCGCAACAGAAAAATGTGAAAAAAATCTTTTCCTGTGCTGCACTCAGCTAGGTCTAGACAATACTCTGCTTCGTTAGTACGTTGTTAGATACATGAGAAATTCCCTTTGTGAAAATCTTTCTTCAGTTTTCACTGATTACAAGGTATGCTCTTGGAAAGGTTACTTTTGTTAGGTATGGACAGTTTCTTGTAACTAAAACAGTAATATTGTGCGGAAGACTTACCACAATTTTAGTTCAAAGCATTGATAGTTTTGAGAGTTTCTTAACCCACATTGGGGACGGAGGTGAGAAGCTGGAAATAGAAGCTTGATAGTTTTACAGTGTTTTATAAAGAGCAGTTGCGGGGGATCATTTTTGAGGAGTTGTTAAAATGTTAATAAACGTTTATTCTTTATATGAAGTATCCAAAATATCTGTGAGTCTGTAATTAATTTTCTTATGCAGGAGGGATAGGCAGATAGCAAAGTAGACATGGAGAGTTTAATATCTCATGACTACGACATGAATCTGGAGTGTGATGTGCTGCATGAGGAGGTTAAGAGTGTGTGAAATCCGTCAGTTGTTCACCAGGCCACAGCACATAACGTAGCAAATGCTCATGAATAAATTGGGCTGAAGCTCCCAGCTGTGGGCACGGCCAGCTTCCAGGGCGAGGTACGGGCTCGGGTGGAGGCCACAGCTGGGCCTATGGGCCATGTTCACTTTGCTGAAGAATTCTGATGGATGTGAAGAGTTTCACATGAGGAGAAAGAGTAAAATGAAATGCCCAGTGTAGTAATCAAACTTTTAATTACCAAAATCTCCTCAGCTTAGAAAAATATGGCCACCTTAAGAGTGATTACTAGTTCTCATTTTTGTCCTTTCACATTCTCCAAATGCATCTTGCGTCTTTGTGGCGTTTTTTTTGTCAAATCCCAGGTCTACGTTTTTCAGTCTTAAGCCCTTCTGCGTAACTCTCTTATAAAATGACTGCTATGATGAGTAGTATCAAAAACTAAGGCTGAAGTTACTGGCCTTAGAGCTTCTGTGCCATCGCGTGGGATGGGACTGGAGAAACCGATGCCACTTTCAGACCATCTGCAGACCAAGGACGAAAACAGAAACAAAGGAGCAAGGAGAAAATAGCTCAGCTGCCGCTTGTAGCAACTTTATCGTGATGCTTAAAATTCTCCTGCTAGGGGAGGTAGTCAAAATACAAACTTTTTCAGATGGTAATTTTATCTGGTGTAAAACGAGCTTTCCATGTGGAAAGGTCTGTGCTGCTCTTGCTGAGCCAGTGGGATGTGTCCTGGGAACTGACAGGGACTAATGAGGCCAGCGAACACCACCATGCTGCTCACATGGAATATGGTGGCGATACTCACAAGCAGCAAGTGTTGGGAACTTTGGCTACAGAGCAGGAATCATTCCTGGGCTTGGGGGACGGGCAGGAGCGGTGCTCTGTCTCCGTTTGAAAATATGTACCGTCCGCAACAGAGCTGGTACCTGGCAGCATCACCTGCTGATTACCTCTCCCAATTTATTTTATTCCTCACTGAGTTAAAAGAAATCCCAGGTGAAATGAACAGCACACTTTTCTGTTGAATCAATTAATTTTTCCATCTACATAATTATGCAACCAATTTACTTACATAACGGATGGCTTCTGTCGGGAAGCAAAAAACATGCTGCGCATTATGGAAATTATGCAAATCCCCCAAGGGTTGTGAGAGTGTTAACTTGATTTAAAGCCTGAATGAACGGCAGATAGTTCCTAAACCTTGTCAGTCCTCTTTTTAACCTTTTCTGCCTGCAAATGCAGTAGATTGTATGCAAATAACTCCAATCCCTAGCCGTTAATCTCCTTTATTCTGAAACTCATCAGCCGTAGACGTTTTTGCGCCGAGGTTGCACGTCTGTGCATCGGCTGCTGCTTGACACCAGCCACCTTGGGAAGGAAACGCGCGCGTCCGTGGACATCGCGCATCAGCAACTGCAGGGAAACGGCCGTTGCTTTCCCCCGCGGGACTGCGGAGCTCGCGGTCGGTTCGCTGCCCGGTGGCGCTCGCTTTCGGCGCCACAAAGGACCTGCGGGGCGCGTGCGAGTATT